GCCAAGCCAAGGCACATCCTGACCTAACCCAGGACCTTAGTTCCAGAGAGGGCCCAGGCTTCTCCATGCAGGGAAGCCAGGCTGGCCCACCAGCCCAGAGACCAGCCCAGAAGCAGCAGCAGCCTGCCCCTTCGAAAGCTACCCTCCCCTGAGAGTCTCTGTACAACTCTCTCTTCAGTAAGCAGGTCTCTTACCAGGACTTGGAAACCCGTGCCTAGGTTGGGATGAAGCTGAACGCCATGAGGCCTCGGGAGCCCACCCTCAGTGGCCCCCTAGTGCCCTTCTGAGCTCAGCCACTACCATTTTGATGTGGTGATGTTTTCTCGTGCTGACCTTATGCCCAGATCAGCCTGGGCGATAGGAATTCCAGGCCCAGCCTGGCCTCTGACTAGCTGGGAGAATTTGGGCAAGGCCCTTCTTCCCTCTCTGGGCCCCATTTTCTCCTTTTGAAAGACCTGACAGCACAGAAGCTGCCAGAAACTTTCTGCTTTTGTGGCTCTCTCCCCACTGGGAGGCACGCACTGTGCCCCTACCTGTGCACTCTTCTCCTGAATTCACCTACTACCTCTTCACTGCGCTCCCCACCTTGAAGGTTCTGCTCCCTAACTGCGAATTTCCCACCCCTGTGCCTATGCAGAACCCTCCCATCTGGCCTAAATTGTTCCTCCCCAACCAGTCCATTCGTTTTTACCTTGTCTGGTTCCTGACTCGAAACTCATCTCCTACGGGAAGTCCTGGAATTCTCCCCAACTGTACCACCCCCAACACACGGTTTTATGCGTCAGCCACATTTCATTGCCGAATTGGGTTTAGGTCACCTCTGAGCAGTTATATGGTGTGTCCCCCAAAGTAAACAGCCTTCAAGGACAAGGGGCTGGGTTTTCAATTCTTGTGTTGTCCACTCCCCCCACCCCCACACACACACCCTGCATAGGACCCAGGCTGTGGTGGGCACACAGAGCTATCAGAGCACCCTGTAAGTGAAGTCTTGGCTCCAGCTTTCTGCCAGGACCCACAGCTGCTCTTCCCGAGCCAACATTTCTGAGAGGAGCAGGGAGACCTTGAAAAACTGGGATACGAGCTTATCTCTCCAAGTATTAATCACCCCATAAAACTTGTGTTTATTTGGTTGCTGGCAGATCCTTCTTCCTTGTAGGAAGCTGTTATTCTTGGAAATACCAGCCCAGGCTTGGGCCAGGGCACCCCGAGGCAAGTGGTGATCTCCTGCACTCCAGTATATCGGGGAGCCTTGAAGGCATGAAGCTGACCTGCAGGGTTCATGGTGGCGTGGGCCCAGGTTATGTCAGGGCAGTGGGGGCTAGGATGGAGCACCCGCCTGGGGCTGTCACTCAGGGGAAGCCCCCTGCACTCTGTCAGGAGAGACAGCCAATCGGTCCATGGCCTGACTTGCATATCTGCCAGGCACCAAGTACCCCTGGATATCTCTGATCCGAGGAGCAGATATAGGCCAGGTAGGGTTTGGAAGGTTTTGGCCACAGGTCCCAGAGACAGGCAGGAAAGGAGGGGGCATGCCCAGCAGGAAGTCACTCAAGATGAGACACCAGTTTGGGAGGCAGTCACCTCAGGAAAGACAAGCCCATCCTCAGAGCTGCCAAGGCAGAGAGAGACTTCTCAGGGGAAGGGGAAACTCAAAGATGGCTGAGGAGGGAGAGCAGGAAAGCCAGAGGCACTGGAGGGATCCAGCCACGGGCCAGCGGGGTGAGGGACGTGGGGTAGGCAGAGGACAGTGAAGGAGACTGACCCTGGGACCATACAGGGCAGCAGGTGGATCCCAGAGGGGAGACCACCAAATGAGGGTGTAGAGCAGTGCTCAGGAAGATATCTTGGATGGATCTCTTTTGTGTTACACAAAAAAAGAAATCAATTTAGGAAGAACAAAACAAAGAGATATGTTAATCTGCTAACTGAATTCAGGGACCATCATCAGTCTTTGAAAAGGCCCAGGGATTATGGTGATTTACAACTCAGACAAGAATCTGCTGGGACTTTACATGAGGTACAGAGAGGAGGCTGCTGGGAGATCCAAATGCAACTGAAAAACCCATTTATAGTCCAAGAGGGGTAACAGAGCCAGGCCCAGTGAGGCCACCTGGGCTTTGCCCCAGGGTAGGGCCCTTCAGATCACTCTCCAGGCCACTTCCTAGGCCCTTGTGGTTTGGAAGCCCCACCTCACCTGGCATGACCCTTCCTCACCCCCTCCCCAGACCCTTCTGGAACTTGTAGGTCCAGCCTAAGCCCTCTTCTCCAGGAACCCTTCCTGGACTCCATCCTCCCTCACTGACCTTGGCCTCCTCTGACTTACTGCCTCCCTCCATACCTAAACCTCCTAGAAGTTTACTGGGGAAGGTACTGCGTTTGGCATCAGAACACCCAATTCAAATCCCAGCCCTGCACATCCCCACATGGGCAAGCCAAGCCTTCCGTGGGTCTCAATTTTCTCCCTGACGAATGGGGATGAAAAGCACTTTGTCCAGGGCCAGCTGCTGAGGTTAAATGAGATAGCTGGAGGGAGACCATCTCAGCAGATGGAAAGGATCCTATGACCACAGCACTAAACAATGTACTGTCTTCCCTTGGGTTATGCCCTGATTGTGTCTGGAGCGCCTGCTTGTCTCCCTCACTTCCCAGTGAGGCTGGGCTGTCTGTGAGCGAGCATGGGCCTACCTCACTTCCCACCACCTTCCTTTATCTAACAAGTTACCCGCTCTTCCCACTCCTCTCCCCTACTGACCCCCTAAATAATCCTGTGTCCTCCACACACCAGACACAGGGTTCCACTCTGGAGAGAAAGCCAGCAGGGTCAGACATGGATCTACCCTCAAAGCCCTCCCCATCTTGTGCAAGACCTATGGATGGGCCAAAGCTCAGGCAATGCCTCAGTGCGAGAGATGTATAGGCACCATGTGGTGGGGGACAAAAGAAACAGAGAAGAGAACTCAGCTTCTAAAAGTTTCAGGGAGGAGGTGGCTTTTGAGCTGGGCCTTAATGCCGGAGTGGGATTTTTGATCTTTAGGAATAGGCACTCTTTGCTAGGAAAGGGGAAAGCAAGAATGCTGCCCCTACTTCCTTTACCCTCCTCCTAACAAGACTAGAAGTTGTTTTAAGAGCTGAGATACTTCTGTCTCTCACCACATGGCCCAGTCCTGAGCTAAGTCACAGCATTCACAACCTCCTTACAGATGAGAAGACTGAAGCTAAGACAGAAGTGTCCAGGCTGGAGCACAAACAGGCTTTGGAATTCTAGTGTCTCAAAGTATGAGGCCCTGTGGAGATTCAGAGCAGCCAGGAAGTGTTCACTTGAACCTTGGGTGGGTGGGGAAGACTGATGATCGCTGAATACCTACTATGTGTAAGCTGCTTCATGTCACTCAGCTCCCTAAGCCTTCAAAAGAACCCTGAGCACAGTTATTATTATCACCTACTTCTATTTTACAGTTAAGGAAACCAAGGTCCCACGGCTAGTACAGGGTAAGGCCAGGATCCCAGCTGGCTGGGTCTGACTCTGTGGCCCAGGGCAGAAGCACTGCCCTTTCTGCCTCTAGCAAGTAAGAGGCCCTGGAGAAGCCCCCATTTCACCAGGGGAAAGGAAGGCAGATTCTTCTCAGGCAGCCTGGGCTTCCTTCTTCACCTACTGACTTGGGAGAGCCTGGTCTCGGCTCTTAACTTGTCCATGTAAATGTAGCAACACTTTTATTGAGTCAAAAAACAGAAAGTTCCCAAACTATTAATTAATAAAAATAGCCTCCTGATGTTTGGAACTCAACAGAAAGGCTTCTGACAATTACTCATTTGTTTTTGCTTTCCCTGTCTTTTTTACTCAAATAAAGGTGTTTTGAAAAGAGCTTCACTGTTTCCTGGCTCAATCCAGAAAGGAAAGAAAGAAAGAAAAAAAAGTTTTTCAATTGCATCCATGGCATTTTTCTCTGCAGGGAGATGGGGGCCAGGTATGGGAGATGGAAAGAGCAAGCATTGGCTGAGCATTGGCTGTGCTGGACACCTTACTTACAGCCTCTTTAATTTCCCTTCCTGTTACCCCCAACCCATTTCATAGATGGGAAAGCTGAGGCTTATGCAGGCTCTGCCTAGAGACACAGCCACTTTGCCCGTGAGCTGATTTGTACCCAGAGTTCACGTATGTGCGTGCACGCACACTTGCCAGCACGTGCACAAGTGAGCAAGGTGAGAGTGATCCTGAACTGGGAATCACATGACCTGGATTCTAGTTCCAACCCAGTCACCAACTCAGTGTGTGACTCTAGGTAGCTTGAGACTCTCCGACGCCCCTTCCAGCCCTGGCCCTTTAGGGTCCACGTGTGTCAGGAAGCCCGGCCCATTACCACCCTAGGCTGCCTCCTTGCCTCTCACTCTCCTGAAGCTGCCCCCCTCACACTGGGCACCAGGAGCAGCCAGAAAAGTCTTAGCCACCCTAGTGCCTTCTGCTGCGCCCCCTCACCCCTTTCACCTACACCCCTACAGGAAGCACTAGGGTGGGGTTGGGCCTCCCAGGGAGGCTGCAGAGCCCAGGGGCCAGGGGCTCACCTGGGACTGCGTGCTGGCTCCCCCACTCACCTGCTGCACCTCCTGGGGCCAATGACTTAACCTCCTTGAGCTTGACGTCTGGCCTCCACAGGGCCCACTAAGAGAGTGGTTGCTGGGAGAACAGCAATAATAAAGTGCCTGGCCCGTGGGAAGTGCTCACCAAGCTATGATTCCGATGATTAATATTCATTACTTCCTGGAGCTGGGGGGTCTTTGCGGCTGCTGTTGATGAGGACGCCTGTGCACTGCTCAAAGGCACAACCTCAAAGGCAGAAACACCCCCCAGGCGCCCCCGGCCCAGCTGCGGGCCTGAAGGATGGGTGCGCTCCACGGGGCGCACGAAGGTCCCCTGCACTGTCCCCGTGCCCAATGGGCCCTGGGGGAGGGGTCCCCATGCCGCATCAGACCCCAGCTCGCAGGCGCAGGGAGCGGGCACTCACCGAGCAGCTGGACGCCCCGCGTGAGGCCGTAGACGTCCACCAGGGCCCAGAGCGGGTCGGCCGTGCGGACGCCGTTGAAGAACAGCATGGCCGCCGAGTCGTTGATGCGATAGAACACACGGCCCTTCTTGTCCACCCAGAAAGCGATGATGTTGCCCTCGTTGGCAAACTCCTCGGGCAGCGCCTTGGCCCAGAAGCCGCTCTGCGACACCAGGTCGGGGCAGGCGTACTTGGGCAGCGAGTCAGGGTGGATGCGGGACGGGTCCTTGCTCGTGAAGCCCAGGCGCAGCGCCCCACTCCAGCAGCACTGCTTCTTGGTGATCTGGGTGAAGAAGATGGCCTCAGACGGCACCCCTGCCCGGCACCCCTGCCCGGCACCCCTGCCCGGCCGGCCGAGGGACCCGGCGCCTCCCAGCGCGCTCCCCGGGGACTCCCAGTGGGCCTCCTCCCGAGCCTGCCCACTGTCCGGGGACAGCCTGCGGCCCCTGTGGCCACAACCTCCCCCGTCCCTTCTCTGTCACACACGGAAGGCTGAGGCAGGAGCAGGAAGGGGGAAGAGCACGAGGAGGGATGCTGGCGAGAGAAGGGCAGGTGCGGCCGGCCCTAAGGGAAGGCCGCGCTGAGCGGGATGGGACGGAGGAGAGCCAGGAGGGGGGGCCCACCTTCAGCCTGACTTGCTCGTAGATGAGGACCGGGCGGTTACTGAAGGTGATGGCGTTGCAGAAGCTGGCCTGCCTCTTGACGGCCTTGTGGCTGAGGTCCATGAGGATCTGGGAGCCCTTGGTGTGCGGGTGGAAGAGCAGTGGCGTGGCTGGGAGCCCCCCGCCAGGCAGCACCGGAGGGCAGTGCTTCTGCTTGTGGTGGCATCGGTGAGAGGTGACAGGGAAGGGGCCCCCGATGGAGTCTTCAAAGGAACAAGCCGCAATGTCGAGAGTGTGGGAGAAACCCCTGGCGCGGCAGAGGGCTGGGCACAGTGGAAGTTGCCCACTGCCCCAGGATGTCCGCCACCATTGCAACTCACCCACTCACTGGCACCTTCTGCCACCACCCTCCTGCTACCACTGTCAATCGCTATTCCCCACATTACCATCTACCACCATGTATCACCGTCACCATTGGCCCTGGCCCTGTACCAATCACCTCCCACCACCACCGACTAGCTACTGCTACTGACAAGTATTTCCCACCATCGACCTTCCACTGCCCACCTTGGTGATAAATCAGCATTTACTACCAACACGTACCACCATGCCCTGCCACTCATTACCACCATCGTTTATTTTATTTTATTTTTTTTTAATTTTTATTTATTTATGATAGTCACAGAGAGAGAGAGGCAGAGACACAGGCAGAGGGAGAAGCAGGCTCCATGCACCGGGAGCCCAATGTGGGATTCGATCCCGGGTCTCCAGGATCACGCCCTGGGCCAAAGGCAGGCACCAAACCGCTGCGCCACCCAGGGATCCCCCACCATCGTTTATTTTAGTCAGCAAATATTCATTATGTATCTACTGAATACCAAGCCTTGTCTTAGGCAGTGGACGTACTGGCATGAAACATACGTGGATCCTTTCTCAAGAAGACACAAGTCCAGGAAAGGAAATGGGACATACACAGGAATCACAATAAAAATGGCAGACAGTGATTGGTGCCAAGAGGACAGAGGGGCAGGTCACTTCTTAGGAAGACCTCCTGGAGGAGGGGAGAAGGAAGAGGGAGCATAGCAGCTGGGCTCACAAGGCTGAGCTGCAGTGAACATGTGACCTTGGAGCTTGCCTTTGGAGACCAGGGGGCGGGGGAGGCAGCCTCTGCAGCAGCAGCCCCAGGACCGTGCCCATCACTTCCCTCCTTCCGGGCCACCCCTGCCACCCCAGGCCACCTTCCTGCTTTATGCCACCCATGCCCACAACATATTCTTGCACACAGGTGGGCCTCTGCACCCAGGCTCCCTAGAGGAACTCGGATCTGCCTCAAGAACCTCTATCCAGGGGATCCCTGGATGGCTCAGTGGTTTAGCCCCTGCCTTCGGCTCAGGGCATGATCCTAGAGTCTCAAGATCGAGTCCCACATCAGGCTCCCAGCATGGAGCCTGCTTCTCCCTCTGCCTGTGTCTCTGCCTCTCTCTCTCTCTCTCTCTCTCTCTCTCTCTCTCTCTGTATGTCTTTCATGGATAAATAAATAAAATCTTAAAAAAAAAAAAGAACCGCTATCCAGGGAAGCACACTGCTTTCTTCTGCAGACAGCTCTACATACCCCAGAATGGGATAGAATACAGGACAGGGCACGGCCAGGGGAAGGCATGTTACAAGCACGTGAGGTTGGTGTCCATGAGACAGGGCAGAGGGAGGAAAGAACACGGACGAGGTGTCAGGTGGCTTGCATCTGTCACTAACTGGCTGTGTGACCTTAGGGAAGTCACTTCCCTCCTCAACCACAAGGGGGTGACTGGAGCTCTAAGGCATGTTTCAGTAGCACTGATACGTTGGGGACAAGGAAGGGGAGATGTTCATTTCTTCCCCAAGATCTGTGTCCTGTCCACCAAGAAAGGCAGCCCCTGCCCACGTTATCAACTTGAGGAAAGAGAGACATGGAGGATGGGGAAGACGGCGTTGGGGAAGGAGGAAATCATAGACCAAGACAGAGGCTTTCTGGGATGCTTCAAAGTTTGGTTCCTCCAAGGCAGTGATTTAATAACGCAGAATGCTCAGTCAGCATCGGACCTGTCAGAGGTCTTCCACTCCCTAAAGAGGAGGAGAGTGTTCCAGGGAGGAGAGGATGACGGGAAGGGAAGGGTGATGAGAGAGGAATGTCATGAGCTAGGAAGACCCAGAGTTTGGTCCAGGCCATGTTTGCATTGTTTTGCATCACTTTGCATCTTTGCTTCCTTCTTCCCAAAGGGCCCCCCAGATGCCAGTGTCACGGTCCAACGCCAGCTGGACATCCTGTGTGTGGGATGTGGGGTTGGAACAAGGAGGAGCTCCACTGGCTCTCACTAAGGAGAAAAGACTGGAATCACAGAAGAGGATTGAAGGCCTTTCAAGCCTCCAGGCAATGAAGGCTGGAATTGCTCAGAAGAGACCCAGTTGGAAGAGGCTGAGTGGTCCCTGGATTGTGCACAGAAGGAAGGTCATTTGAGGGAATGGGATGCATGAGGTGATGCACAAAGCGTGGCCACAGCTAACCTACAGGCACCATGCCTGGGAGAGGTGTCCTATGGGATCAGGTCAGCCTCAGGTACAGCTTGACTAGCTTCTGGGTAAATGGATTAGAGACTGTGGTAGGGCTATATGATGGAATAGTACTCATCACTAAACAAGCAATGAACCCCTGATATGAGTGGTGACATGGATGAATTTCAAAATAATCACACTGAGTAAAATAAGCCAGTTTTTTAAAAATAAGCAAACACAATCCCTGGAGTAACTGCAGGGCCTCTGTTCCTTTCACCTACTACCCAGGCCCCCACCGCCTACACCCTGTCCCAAATCAGGAAATGCACACTAAGGACTAGTGATAACAAGTAGACCGGAGGTCACCTGGGGATGGCAGGGGAGGGGGAGGATGGCTGAGGGGCACAAGGTAATGTTTGGGATGATGGATATGTTCACCATCTGGATGTGGTGATGACTTCATGGGTGTATACATATGTAAAAACTCATCCAGTTGTGCACTCTAAACATGTGTTTGAGGGTATGTCAATAGACCCCAATAAAGCAGTTTTTTAAACCTGCTGAGCCCAGCAGCGGATTATAGCCTCTCTCGTGGGACTATCCCCCAGCCTCCCCTTGGAATCCATGACCCAAATGCAAAGACCACAGCTTCTTAAAATGCTTCCTCTCCATCCCACCCATCCTGGTGGTCCTAGGGTCTTGCATAAAGACCCAGAAAACACCAGCTCTGAGCAAATATAATGGAGACGCCCCAAGGCCAGAGACCCAGGCCCTGGGAGGATCATTCCCCCGGGCCCTCCTTTCTATGGACAGGGTTTTGGGTGGGCAAGGGTAGCACAGGCCCAGCCACCCTGGCTGACAGCAAAAGAGGTGGAGAAGGAAGGTTAGGGAAACCCTGGATCCTGGGGACACAATGTATACCCAGACATGTGGCCTCCAAAAGGCACATTCATGAGCACACACCTACCACCCTGAGCACAAAAAGGTGATCCAGGCCCCAGGCCCTACAGGACAGAGACTTATCCCTTCCCCATATCTCTTGGGCTGGAAATCACGCATTTCACACGTACTGCACTCACATAATATTCATGTCCCCTGGGATATATGCAACAGCTCATGTTAGACACATGCCCAGCACACATGGGCCATCCACATCTGATCATAATGGCAGCCATTCATCATATGCTGCTGCATGCCAGGCTCTGAACAGGGAGTTCAGTACACTAACCGGTTTCATGCTCACAGCAAACTTCAATAGGTAGGGAGGGACATCACGAACCCATATTAAAGATGAAGAATCTGAGCCTCAGAGAGATTGAGTGGCTTGTCCAAGGTCTCGTGGCCGGCACAGAGAGGTTCTAGCAGTCAAACGCAGGCGGTCCAGCGGCAAGGCCAGTATCATTAAGACCGTAAGGCATTAATAGCCAAGAAGGCATAGGTTTGGTATGCTGGATACACTGTTTTAAATGCACATTAAAATATACTTGTAACTGGTAAAATATGGAAAGAAAAGCTCACCTGTGGACCATGCAAAACCATTTCAAGTAGTACACTAGGCAATACCTGGCATTCTACTACGCTGCTTTCATGACACACATGCGTATGCCACCAAAACACAGAAACACAAACCATGTTTCCTACATTGCCTTCATTCATGGCTGGATGTAAAAGGTAGTGTGTGCACACAATGAATTTCACTCCATGATGACAATGAATGCACTATTGTGTAACCAGGAGGAAACTCAAAACCACACTGAGTGAAAGAAGCCACCCTCAAAGGCTACCTACGCTCTGATTCCATTTGTAGGACATTCTGGAACAGGCAAATGATAGAACTTGAAAGATCTGTGGGTACTGGAGTTTGGGGAAGAGGAAAACAAGACACAAAGGCAGTTTTTAGGGTGATGGAAATGTTCTATATCTTAACTGTGGCAGTGCTCACACAAGCCTACACATTTGTCAAAACTCCCCAAACTATACACTTAAAAAGGATAAGTTTCATTGTCTACAAATAGTACCTCAAAAGCACAACAACAACTAACAAAACAGGTCTCCATTGAGAAGGAAGAAAGGGAGGCTGGAATCTCTGACCACCACAGCCCTCATCAACCCACGGCAGGCAGTGCCTAGGAAGTGGAACATTTAACAGGAGACCCCAAAGTCTGGTTGGGCCTGCCCCTCTTAGCCTCACACCTCTGAAGTGGGTCCACTCACTGAGGGGAGCATTTTGGCAGCTACAATGCCCCTTCACTGACTCCTGGACCTACAAAATCCCATGCCTGACTCCTCCTGCCCACAGTGTGGTTCCCAAGGCTGTCCCTGGGCCATCCTCGGGCCTTCTGTCTGCCATCAGCTCTGAGTAATCAATGCCCACCGAGCCACCTCTGTGGAGATGATGTGAGAACCTTCTCTGGCCTGCTGGATATCTCTAAGTGACCATGGTCCACTTGGCAGGCCCCAGCTGAACTCCTGACCCTGGCCCAACAGCACCCCCGGGCTCACAGGCCCCAGTGGAGTCTTTGAGCACCCCACACCCAACCGGCCAATCCCACCTCAGAAATAAACATCCCTGGGCTCTGTCACTCCCATCCTCCCTGCTCTCAGCCTCATCACTTCTCTTTGAACAAGGGCCAGGGCCACCACTTACAGCCACAAAACCCTTCCCTGCATGCCTCCAGGGGGTGCCATTCACACAGACTATAAGAGAAATGGTGCCCTCGGAGGTATCCAACAT